AATGAAAGGTGAGATACTATCTCCAGAGAATATCAAGAAAATGGGTTGATGTGAACAGTAAGCAGTCATAAAGTTCCATCAAGAGGAAAGTTGTAAGTCACTCTCACCATGAGAAACTTTTCTACACAGCATGGTGTATGGGTAGTTGTTAGCAAGGAAAAGTACATATTGCAAACTGATTTCACGTGGAAGCATGGATGTGAGCTAACACTAGCTATGAACAGGAAATCCTCATTCACTATATAACAATTATACCAACAGAGGTTAGATTTCAAGTAACAACAAAGATGGATGCACAGGGTAATGAAGACAACTGACCTGAAGTGCAACAGAGCAGAATACAAGAGAATAGACGGTCCAAACTAAAAGTCATATGTTGGGATCGTCTTTGGAAGGTAATTGATAGGATAACTGTCAATTGCTTTGCTTCAGCAAAGACTTCACCACAGATAAGTAAAGCTGCTGGAGACCCACAAATTCTCATTGAAACAACTTCTAGAGTGTTACCAGTGGATTCCCTCTACCACATAGTGGAGAGAACTCCACCCGTGGCAACAGAGCAACTGATGATAAAGGACAAAAAAGTCATACCATCTTCGTACCACATGCCACGGAGAAGAAAACTACCAAAAAGGTTTTGGTGAAAGAACAGTTTAGAGACAGTAAATAACATAACTAAGAAGGTTGTGTTTTGTTAGACAGAATTGGGGTTGTACTTAAGACAATTCATTAATGGTTGAGAGATTGTATAATTTTTATTAATTGCAAATTTAGCGTTATAAACCTTCAGGCTTGCGGATGAGCCACTGGTGGACATGTCGTAAGGGATCGACTAAAATACATAATGCTAAAAAAAAAATAAGCCCTACACTTTCCCTTATAACAAACGTAACTGATTATCATGTTTTCAGTGCAAAAAGAGTCATTAGTTGGTTGGTTTCAGTTTTATGATGTATTTGTTTATGGCACTAAGAGGGTGCTTCTAGTTATTTTTTGTAATTAAGCACAAAGCTACACAATGGACTATCTGTGCTCTACCCACCACGGGTACCGAAACCCGTTCTCTAGCGTTGGAAGTTCGCAAACATACCGCTGTGCCACTGGGGTGGGGGCGTTTCTACTTAATTAATTTCTTTAGTTTCTAATCTAGATAGTTTACATACTTATGATCAGAAGGTCTTATTAAATACTCAGAAATTTAAGGAGAAAATCTCGCCTGGTTTATAATAAAAAAATATCAATTAACTGGGCGATATTTCCCCAGTTGAGTTTAATTTCCTATTTGCGTTTGAGTACTTTACCAAATCTAGTGAATGAATGCTAGTGAATACCGCAAGTACTTAACTGTTTATTAAAATCTGTCGTTAGAGCACCTTTGGAATAACACCTGATAAAAAAAAAGTAGAACTACTTTGTCGAATACAACTTTTAACGACTCAGTTTCTATGTGTTACTTTGTACATACATATTTCTGGCAGTGAGATTTCACGAAAAGTTTAAGTTGGACAGAAATGAATAACTATTTAGAATGTGTTTATGTCAATTGCTTGAGAAAAAAAAAAGAAATCCAATAAATTAATTTGAATTGCTGTAATGATACTTTATTCAACAAGAAGTAACAAGTGTTTAACAATATACAACAAACTGATAGCAAGACAACCTACAAGGCTTAGCCCTAAAACTGGGTATTTATAAACACGAACTATACACATATATAAGCCAGAAAATTAGTCTACCTCATATACATATCAACTTTTACAAGTAATGTTACAAGTTGTAAAGTATGGAGTTCTATGGAAGGATGGACATAACGCAAGCGTTTTATTTCTTTTATTACAACTTAGAATGTGTACAAGATCTACGTAACTAACGATAGGCCTGTTCACAAATAAATAACACCTCAATAAAATGTTTTCTTGTATGTATAGTACTTCTCTTATCACTTGTATTCAATTGGAAACACAAAATTAAAACTAACATTTCAGAACAAACTAATTGGCTGACTTAATAACCAATCACCAAACTCCTCTAGTCTCACCTAACTCGCGTTTTATATCGTTTAAACTGTTTTCTAAACTTTCAAGAAAGTTATAATACTTAAGCCACGTGCTCATCAGATGACGTTAGAAAGTCTCTCTTGCTATGAAGCGATATAAACATCTAAATTAAAAATAATAATAATAAACATATCCTTCAACAGTATTGTTTGATAGCATGGTAAGAATAGACTGGATTTATTGTTATAATTTACCGAATAATCCGAAATTATCAACAATACGCTCTATAAACCTTACACTAAAACTATTAAATTGTCTTTTTCAGCGACGTGCTTTTATGATTAATTGTTGTTTGTGAATATCCGAACCTAGAAGTATACGTAAACATATCTTTACAATATCGATGACAATAGAAATAAAGCTAAAACTATCAGCACGTAAAGAGTCTCAATAAAATAATTGGAATGCTCTCAGTTCGGACTTTTTGTGACTAGAGATAGACAGATAAAGGAGGAAAGAGATATCATAGGATAAGACAGCATACTGTAAATTCCACTACTAAATCCTAGTTAATTATTTCGTTGTAGTAAAAATACGGGCTTTCAGTTCATTCTCTTTATTCATTTCGCGATTCTGAAGACACCTGTAAAATGAATAATCAGTTCACATGCTTCGTTGTCATATTTTCAAGCTAATGTTTTTATAATGACTTCCGTTTTATTCTGTAATAAAGAATTCGGGTGAACTTCAATGAAATTAAAGATGGTTCATTAATTATTAGTTTAAATGGTGTATCACAACACGGTGACAATCATATTGTGATGTGGACTCATAACAAAAAACTGGACTTTAAACATAACGGTAATTCTTATACGTTTTTAAGATTAGTCTAAAGTGACATGGAAAATTGTACAAAGAAAAAAGTTTCTATTGTACTACTATATTACCATGAAGTCGGTGAGTAAAGTATAGCAATAATAATTAATGCCTTTTATAGTTAACTGGTCGAACTTTAAAGTGTAACATTAAAGAGGTTGAAGTTAGTCAATTATACTATGTCATAAAAACAACAATGATTCTCAATTAGTTCCCTGCGGTAGAACGTTGAAATGCAAAATAATATCTGTCAACTTTTTCAATATTTTGCCCTCTTTCCCGCCCTCCCAAAATCTCCCAATGATAAAATCAAAAAGCAAATAAAAAATAATCTATTGTTTATCTTCAACGCTCTTTATTACGGAATTAGACGAACTTGACAGATTTCTGTCATTCACGATCGCGGAACCCAACGGACATTCACGATATTTCATCTCTGTACCAACTGCAAATGTGCAGGGGTATATTGTGTGGTTTTGAGTTAAGTAAAATGGCCATCGTGAGAAAAAAAACAGTGCGCTGGTAGTCCAGCGAGAGAAAATTCTACAAAAACGCAAAAATATACTTGCAAGTTCAGATGTGATATTTGTTGAAGTGACCATTTTAAACGCCAGTGTGCTTAGCTTTGGACTTAAGTTTAGCGTTCTCATCTCCTTATTTGGAATTGGACAATTCTTTTTTAGCACATTGATTGTTTGTAATTAAGCACAAAGCTACACAATGGACTATCTGTGCTCTTCCGACCACGGGTATCGAAACCCGGATTCTAGCGTTGTAAGTCCGTAGACATACCGCTGTACCACTGGGAGGCTTAGCACATTGAGAGTCGTTATTGTATTTTATAGTGAGCTCAAAAAGCGACAGAAAAAAAAATTATATGCTTGCTAACCTGCAGAATAAGAGCGTGTGTGTGAAATCTAAGAAATATTTTTAAATAAATTGTCGTCGTAAACTTTCATACTCTATATAGTAAAGCCATTTCTCTATTATAGCAAATAATAACTGGTACGACAGGTTTAAAGAAGCATATTATATTTTAGTCTGTGATGTCATAATTGACCTTTCGACGGATTGTTATTCTTTTAGGGCAAACTCATAAAATATGCTATATGCGGTGAACTCCGCATTTTTGCGTTATAAGTCCGTACAATTTCAATGATTATTAATATATTGGCATATTCATATTTTACTTTTATAAGGGGAAAATACTTGGTAATATGCAATTATTTTTTATATAGTAATAAAATATGAAGCTGGGAGTTTATGTCCGGCTTTTCTGACAATATTTTTAAGGACAGTGAAAACAAAACGAAAGGTCTGAGGTTTTCTCTTGTTTCCTGGAATACAAGTATTATAGTTGCGAAGTTGTACAAATAAAGCCTGAGGTAAAATAGCCCATTCTTTTCTGCTTAATAACACTTACCCTCAACTAACTCTTTTCCCCCTTCTGAGCCACTCCCACTTTTACCCAAAAATAAAAATATTTTGTTTCGAAATAAATCTTTGACATTGTGTCAATTTTTATTGAAGTTTACTCACGGATTTTCAATATTTTTTCATATACATACATAGATGCACAGACAATGACACTGCGGACAGTACAATACCTTAACACCATTTTCATTAGTCGATTTGATAAAAAAATAACGCTCCAGAGCATTTTATGTGAAAAATATGGGCTTATGAGCAATTGTTCAACGTAAGCCTTAACTTTCGATGTCTTGGCTACATGTTGAGTATAAAAAAAATTGTTACTATTTTTGTTCTTTCATGTGCGCCAACGTTCAATGATATTTACTTTTATTTTAAACCATGAGATCATCAAAAGTAACCAATCGTGAGCAAGTAATTAAAAACTCAAAATTCTAACAATCCATTAAATCATAGATGGATGTATTAAGAAAACAAAATCGTCAAGTTTTAGTACGGATAGTGTTAGGAAAAAAACGATGGAAATAAGGAAAAAAATTGTTCATCAAATGTCATATCACCAAACAGAAACTTTATGTTGAGGAACTCCTCAAGTCACGAGACGAGAAACTAGTGCAACACTCATCATTATGTTTTACTAAACTACAGGGGGTGAGTAACAAAGATGTGCATGATAAAGTGGTCAATCCAAGTTAATCTTCTGTTCGATATCTTAAAGTATGTTTATTTGAATGTTAAATTTACACTTTCCACCCTCCTACTCTATCAACACTTTCAAATATGTTTGCTATGTCTATGCTTAGCCAAATACTTTATATTAGAGAAAACAATGATTAAAAAAAACTATATTATATAAATTTTCTGAAAATGTTAATTTAAGTGATACTTACCCCTAAAGTTAAAATGCAACAACATTTTTCTATTCAAGTTTAATAAGTTAAATTTGAAAAAAGCTATTAAAATTCCTGATTATAATAGCAATAGCTTATGTTTCAAAATCGAAAGAACGCTTAAATTCTTTAACAATCATAAAAAACATTTTTGACGGGGATAACGCAAACCTTTTTTGTACAATATAACTACACGTCATTACTTCAGCTTTCTACTTATATTAGCCTATCACTTGCTTTTAGGCTTAAACTTGTAGTTATCTAGCGACATTTTCCCCAGAGAAATTCGTCTCTGGACTTTTTATTTCCTGCTTCAGTTCTTTAAATGGGAGATGAAGTTGAAGAGGGTCTCTCAATCTTCTTAAGTTCTCCTCCGTCTCTGCTACCGCTTTTCTCAGGGAATTGTAAGTTTCCACGTCTAAGCCTTCCTTCCTGGCCTTCTTGTAAAAGGTAATTAAATACTGTCTGTCGTGCACATCAGATAAATAGTATTCCTAAACAAAGAAAAAAGATCCCGTAGTTTCATTGAAAATATCAAATTAAATATTTCTTGTAGTTCAAAAACTATTTTCTATAAATATTTAAGGTTTTCGTCTTTAAGTTATTTAATTGGGATATTAGTTTACCAGTAAAACACGAACTAACTTTGTTTGCCCGTTTAAAACCGAAGGCAGTCAAAGTATTTATTTGTTTCTTTTTGAGGGCAAAGTTACACAATAAGCTATAAACGCTTTGTTCACCGCAGAGAATCTCCCAAATTTTAGCTTTATAAGTATGTAACCTCTCCGCTGACCCATCGTCGAACCTGGGGGAAATATTTCGTTTCTCAGAGCTGTAGGAGGTAAATTAAAAATAGGTGGCAAGGTTTATTTGACCGAGCGAAGGGAGTGAATGTGCGCCACAGGTACATCCTTTACTACCGGGGCCCAGAGCTCGTTTTAGGGCTCAGGATTAAATTTTATGCATTCCCTTGCTTTTTCCGAGAATAATTTTCCCAATTTTGATGCATTCTTACTGGGGCAGGTTGAAAAGTGCCCCCCCCCTTCCTATGTCATTATTTGATGATATGCACAAAGCTGCACAAAGGGCTATTTGTGTTGTACCTGCCACGGGTATCGAAACATCCAGATTTATTGCTGAACCACCGGAGGGCTAAAGCTAAATAAACACTTACTAGAACATTTTCCAGAGCATTTTCCCAGTGTTTTATCTGAACCTATCCAGTGTATCATAACTTTCATCGATTTAACATATTGAGCAACAATTTAAACTCATATTTTCATGTTTGGTTATAAATATATAAAGCTTGAAACAAGTTTTCAGTATCGAAATCTAATATTAGTCTACTGCTACTAGTGTGTTTAATTCAATACCCCTTTTTTTAAATCGAGAAATGACAATCTTTGCTTTTATTAGTTTGTGTTTGGTGAATCACTGAGGCTTGCTATAGCATAAGCCTAATAGTTTATCATATAATTTTGTACATTCCAATATTTCACAGGAGGAAGGGAAATCCCTCTCCTCGTGATGGCAAATTAGAAGGACAAAAATAATGTATGCATCTCCCCTCGACAATTTTTCCCAATAAAACTTAAATGAAGCAACATTTCTATTCAATATTCTCCATATATATATATATATATCTTTTGAGTTCCATGTGTTACAATTGTTCCATTTGTGAAATAGGTAAATAAATAGTTATAGTAGGTTCTGGTACATTCTATGAATTCCTCAAGGCTTAAATGAATCTAGAACATCTTGATTGTTAATTACTTTACATTTCAACAATTTATCATTTAAAAAAAATTCCAAATCTCAGTTGAAACCTGTTCTTTAAAGAAAGGGTGTAAAAATAACAGGCTTAATCACTTTCTAATCTGGCTTTTTGTATGTAACAATTACATGGAAATGCCCGTGTTGAATGTTTTAATTATCTCGGAGTAACATGAAAAATGGCAGGATATAAGGTAATTTAATTGTCTGCAAATTTCACGATATTGTCAACTTCGGCTCTTTTGGAATTTAGAAATTATATATAAATGTCGGGTTTGGTCAGTTTGAATGCTTGATAATTACATGACAAATACCGGAGTTCGTTAATGTCTACAGAGCCTTAGACAAATATTTCACTTTGGGGGAGTTTTCCTCTCTAGAATGTACTACCTAAAGTATGGATCAGAAATTTGCAAGGAATCATTCTACGGTGTCATAAAAACTGAACAAATTGCCGTAATAATATGTAACCTATTGTTCCTCTGTGTTACGTTTGTTTCGTTAATCTGAAGAACAGAATTAATTCGCAATTAATGATGAAACAGAAAAGCTCCCAGAACATCGTGATTTATTTTCCACATTTTTATTTAGGGGGGATTGTTTGTTTTCAGTAAACCACAAAGCTACACAAAGGGCTATCTGTGCTCTGCCCACCACGGGTATCGAAATCCAGTTTCTAGCGTTGTAAGTCCGGAGACATATCTCTGTGTCACTGGGGGGCTTTTGGGGGGAGGGGAATTGAAGCGCCCCCAAGCATCCACTTGTCTATAGCCTTGGTTTATAAGTAAGAAGGATTTTTTTATGACAAAGCTACCTGCCCCCGTCGTCAATTTTAAACTGCCAACCAGAGGAAAGGCAACTGGCCGATAGCACCCACCGCCAATACTTTATTAGTAAAGAATAGTGGAATTGACTGTCACTTTATAACGCACCGTGGCTAATAGAACGAATATATTTGGCACCGGGTTTAGATCCCGCAACCTGCAGATTGTGAGTAAAAAAACCATACCTTTTAAG